GTATATCTGGTGAGTTTTAGGGTTAATGTAAACATTAAACAATTTTCACTATATACACAATAATCTTGTAGATTTATATTTTATATATTTAGTTAACTAGTTGATTATAGAGTAAAATTATAAAATCAACCTTGTACTTTCTATTTACTAAGAAAAATTAATTATTAATAGTTAAAAATGCCTAAATCTAAAAGAGACAAAAAAAGTAAGTTAAAATTTAAGAACTTAATTTAATGAAATACTCATAACATTTTTATTCTTATTTAGTTTCATTGACAAGAACTACTAAACAAGGTTCTAAATTAAAGCAATCTATAATGGAGAAACTACGTGATGCTGTTGACCATTATGAAAACATTTTCGTATTTTATACTGACAATATGCGAAATGGTAAATTAAAAGATGTTCGAAATGAATGGAAAGACAGCAGGTATTTACTATTCTTCTTCTTTATGTGGGTACTTTTTGATAATAATTATATAATTTTTTTAATAATATTACTGTAATAAAACTACAAAAAATATTAATCAATTTAAAATGAATGTTATGTTAACTAAGTTATTATGTATAAAATATCATCATTCTTTAATTTTATAAATATACTTTATTAATTTTTTTTATTAAAAAACGTATTGATTATTTGACTGAAATTCTAAAAAAATAACAATAAAAAATCTACATAATAATAAGTTGATATTCATTATTTTTTTAAGATTTTTTTTTGGCAAAAATAAAGTTATGGCTTATGCTTTGGGTAAAACAGCTCAAGAAGAAATACATAATAACTTACATAAATTAGCACAAAAAATTGAAGGACAATGTGGATTATTATTTACCAATAGACCAGTTCATGATGTAGTTAAGTATGTATTGAAATTTGTATTAAATTATCTAATTATAATAAATGTTGTTAATCATATAACTCATTAAAATAAAATTTAATAGATGGTTTGAAAATTACTCTGAACCTGAATATCCTAGAGCTGGTACTCGAGCCACATATTCTGTCATATTAAATGAAGGACCACTTCCAGACTCATTTATTCATTCTATGGAACCATCATTAAGAGAACTCGGTTTACCTACTAGTCTACAACGAGGAGTAATTCAAGTTCTAAAGGAACACACAATTTGTAAGGAGGGTGCTTTAATTACTCCAGAGCAATCTAGATTACTAGTAAGTTAATTAAAAACATATCAAGTATTATATTTATATAAATAAAATAAAATAATTTTCTTTTTTACAGAAATTATTTGGGCATAAAATGGCAATGTTTAAAATAACAATGAAATATGCTTGGTCAAAAGATGGAAGTTTTCACACATTATTCAGTGAATAACAATGATATTCTTTTTGTGTTATATAATTGTTAAATAAACTGTAATATTTTTTCTAAACATAGTTTTATATGTTAACTTTGATAAAGTTAATTAATTCCTATTAAATTCTTCAAATGCTTATCAGATTAAAAATTAGTTCTAAAAGAGTTTTTATGAATTTCTTCCGATTAGTAAATGAAAAATATAATTAATTTGTTTTAAACAGTCAATTTTTATTTTCCTGTATTATAATCTATATTAATTATACTAGTTCAATTAATTTTTAATTAATATTTGATTTCTATAAGCCAAATTATTGAAATTAATTTTATGATGAAAAATGGTTTCCAATTAATTGGAAGCAGGTTTTATACATTTCTACTTTTCAAATTATTAACTGGTATTTACAAATCTTATTCACTCAAGGAATCATTCCATAGAATCAATTAAGTAGTAAGCTATCAGATAAAAAAGTATAATTTTCTAAGTTGAATAGCACAAGGCATGTTTTAACTAAATATCAAATATATTTATATAATTATATAATACTTTTATAGCATCTTAATCTCAATTGATAAACCTAATAAAATAATAACATACGCATCAAACATCTACTTAAGGTTAGAATAAGTTTCACTAGCTTCTAAGCAGTGACATAATTTTAAATGTAATGCTCCAGACCAACATAGTTTGCTACTAAATTTTTATTGCCCCTTAGTAAAAAAAAAAAAAGTATTTTAGAAACTTCAAATTATTTGCCCTACTAGAAAAAATTCTGGATTAGTGAGAGCCACATCAATTAACAAAAATAAAAATTTTGTAATAAAATAAAGATGTAATAATAAAGACACTTTTTTTTTAATTATTTATACATTTAAATGCTAGCATTATTGAATCTATAAAATTATTAATAAATTTGAAAACAATACTCTTATAAATTATTAAACAAGTTAAGGCAATTTCTTACTATAAAATAATTCATCTAGCTTTAATCTTAATAGCCATTTGTTAAAAGGGACCCTGGAATAATTTTGGCTAAATTTTAGTGCATCATTATTTTAAACATGTATATACAATACATGAAATAAAAATTTTAAACAGTTCTTAAGAGCCTTTACCTAATGTTTCACCTTCACAAATCAAGTTTGCTTTTATTTTTTCTATTAGTCTTTAACTTAAAAATTTTGTTAAACTTAAATTTATAAATATTGTCACCATATTTTGCAGACATTTGATTTTTTTTTTTTAATATATAAAAACACAAAAAATTTGTTTACATATGATGATATATATAATTATAATTAAAAGTAATAGTTGGAGATGAGGCGTGGGTGCCTTTATTTTTACCTTCTTGGCCATACTTCTACTCCCACATATAAAAATATTAATAACTTCTGAAATATTAGAACAAAAGTTGTTATCTATTTGTCATTTTCTTAATTAGATCATTATGTATTAAATAATCTAGTTAATTATGAATATTGATATTTAAAAAAAATAGAATTTACACCCTTGAAAAGTATAAGGAATGAACATAAAAAATATTTTATGATTGATAAATTGAGAAAATGTAGGGTGAATTGGGGTATTTGTCAATGCATTTTTTGAGATAAATGCACAAGTTNTTATTTTATGATTGATAAATTGAGAAAATGTAGGGTGAATTGGGGTATTTGTCAATGCATTTTTTGAGATAAATGCACAAGTTTTTATTCCAAACTTACATTTAATATGATATAAACATATATAAGTTATACCACTTTACAATCTAAATAAAATCTGCTAAATATTCTGCTATTTTTTATTTGATGTCATAAAAAATATAATTACAAAAATTTATTATCTTGTAATTTTTTTCTTCCAACCTACCGTTTGTCTCTTACAGTTTGTTAATGTTAGGCAATTTTATTTTTGTATATGAATATATATTAGTGTACAGTATATTAAGTTTATATAACACAGTATCGATGGCATTATATATAATTATTAAAATTTATAGTACAATTGGGAAATGTACAAGAAAAGGTGCACAAGTCACTTTTTTGTTTTATAATTTTGTAGTAAATTTTACTCTTGAGTTGTATGAGTTCTCATACTAAATGTGAAACACATTAAGTATTTAATATTTTACATGAACAAAAAATTGAATTTAACTAAGACTGATGCAATGAGTAGTTTATTATGAAGAAAATAAAGTTGCAAAAGTTATTTATGCTCCTTCTCTATAAGAATTTCAGGTGGTTTCATTGAATTACTGATGAATGTAAATAAAGGAAACTAGTCCACATTTATAATTTTTGATACTGTCACTACTTTACACTTTTCAGAATTCATAGACAGGTTGATACAAAATACTTAAATTACAGATATTTACTTATTTCCTTAACAATAACTTTATTAATTACAATCAATATTTTATTTACAAAGAGTTAGGAAATTTCCTCAAAATAAAAAAAATTTTGACAAAGGCCTTTTGTATAAACCACTTTAACAATTGGAGTAATTTTACTTTTCACTAAAGACTCATCTTCAATATTATAGTAAACAAAAGTAACATCATCTATAGAGCAATGTTGGCTTCTTAGAGAAAATAATACATATTTTTTATAAATGTGTATTCAGTACATAAAATGATAATTATAAAATAAAATATTCATTATAAAAAACTCAATAACTCATAACTTATTACATAACACAGACTACAACAGATTAAGCAAAATATAAACTATTTAGGTTAGTAGGTCAGAATGAAAGTATTTATCACTATTTTAAATATTATAAACTGTTAAAAAAACATTAACTTTTAGAAAAAGTTTTATATAAAAATAAATTTACTTACCTCCCATGTAAAGGAAATAATGAACTTTCATTGGCAACATTTTTACATCTAGTTGAATTAAAGGCATTTTGAACAATTTTATTTTTTAACAAATTAAGCTGAAATAATAATGGAGAGTGTAATTATAAAAATTAATACATTATTTTATTCAACTATCAACTGAGTAATGTACCTTTATTTTGTTTGTAAATTTTTGTGTTTATTATTCAAATTATTAAAATGANTGTACCTTTATTTTGTTTGTAAATTTTTGTGTTTATTATTCAAATTATTAAAATGATTACTTTAATTTAAAATTCTCTTTATTTTTAAGCGTCAATAATTATGATGGCTACATATTTATTTAAAACACATTTTTTACTTTTATTAAATTTAACAAGAATAAATAAATAAAAATTTATTAAACTTAAATTACTTAAATATATATTTATATAATGACTAGTTTTTAACCGCACTGCCAATATAATTTCAAACAAGTAACTTTAGTATAAAACATATCAAATAATTCAATTAAAACACAATGGTATGTATTAGCCAATTGAGCCAACAATTAAATTGCTATACAAATTAGGGAATAAAAAAATGTGACAATTAAACAGTGAAGTCCAATAGTGATATTAATTTTGATAAAAAAATATGTTTAATAAGATAACAATTTAAACCACATGTTATTGGTGGGAAAGTTATGATATGTATAACCAGCAAAAGTGGCTTTTTTATATACTAATACAGAATATATTAAGTCTGTATTACGAAGGAAGGAGATAATTTGACATACATTTTTTAATATAAACAATAAAAATTTCGATTTATAAGTCTCATTGATTGTCTTTTATCATTTAAAAATTATTACGAATATGTTATCTAAAATGTTTTAAACATAACATCTATGTTCTTAAAATAGTTTTTTTTTATTTAATTTAACTTCAAAGCGTTAATTATTAATTTATAATGATATCCTTAAATGAAAAAAATGCTTCACAGTTAGAATTTCAGCATGTACATAATGTAAGAATCCTCTACTTTTTAAAAAAAGTCAATTTAATTTTATAAAATTACATTTAAAAAAATATGCCTACATTAAAATAAATAATTATACTGCTTGCCTAGTTTTAAAATTCAATTTTTTTTCATAGTTGAGATTTGTATTACTTAAAACTAGTTGACTTCTTTTTAAGATAGTAATAAAAATTATTTTTAGGTGTATGAAAATATTGCATCCCATTTTAGTGACACTAGACAAAAACCATGGCCTAATGTTGTTAAATTCATTAATAAAGCTGAACCAGGATCTATAATTTTAGATGTTGGTTGTGGAAATGCAAAATATTTCACAAGTAATTCTACAAATTTTCAAGTATGTAAGGAATTTTATAGATTTTCTATAGATTTTAATATTTATTATTTTATAGGTAGGTTGTGATCGAAGTACTCAATTAGCCCAAATATGCAAAAGCCGTAATCACCAAGTTTTTAATTGTGATTGCCTTCAATTACCGTTACGTTCAAATTGTATTGATTTCTGTATAAATATAGCTGTTCTCCACCATTTATCAACATCAGAGCGAAGATTTAAAGCCTTAAACGAGATATTTCGAGTATTAAGAAAAGGTGGTCAAGCACTTATTTATGTTTGGGCTAAAGAACAGAAAAGAAATGAAACACCTTCAACATATTTAAAACAGAAAAAAGCTCATATAAAAAATTCAAGTTCAGTTAATGATACAATAAGTAATCATTATCATGTAGAAAAAATTGAATTGGATCTTCCAATTCATACTAATCGTTCTAACTTTATACATAATGACTTATTAGTACCATGGAAATTAAATAAAAATAAATTAAATGACAAAGATCCTGTGACACATCTTAGATTCTATCATGTCTTTGAAGAAACAGAATTAAAGTCTTTGTGTGAGAGAATTTCAAATTGTAAAATTATTGAGTATTATTATGATCAAGGAAACTGGTGTATAATTTTTGAAAAATTATTAAATACTTAAAATAAAATACTATATATTGGTTTATAATAAAGTTTTTTGTTCTTCATTTTGATTCACTTTATATATAATACAAGGTAAATGATAAACTATGCCTTACACAAAATCTTTAAAAATATAAAGTCTACTATTATTTTTTTTGAAAATTATATAACATAAGATACTATGAAAATAAAAAAACTCTTGAAAATTAAAAATTATAGTCTGATTTATACTTTTAAAGTTTTAGCGTGAGGCATAGTTAATTAATGACTTTGTATAATATAATTTTGTTATTACTATGCAAGATTATATTTATTATTTATTTTTAATTTTTATTGATTTATTTTTCAATAAATAAATTTTTTTTTTGTTACATTATAAAATTTAAAAAATTATATTATTTAAATATGTGTTATTGAATTAATGAATATTTGAAATAAACATGAATATTAGGGTGGAACAAAATATTGAAAATATTGATAATTGAATTCGAATAGAAAAAAAAGTTGCAGTTTACTCTCCTGATTATGGGAGTTAAAAAAAAAATTTTTTAATAACTTAAGGTGCCGCAAGAGAGTTGAAAAATTTTATAAATTAAATAATATATATATTTTAAATAATATATTCTATATAACTTTTATAATACAGATTACAGTGTCTTATGATTTTTCAACATTTCCACTTATATTTCTTATGACAAAATTCCAGAACATTGTGAAATACCCTGTATACATAACCATAATAGAATATTTAAAAGGTAAAAGTATAAGGTACCACAAATAACATTTGATCAATTCATTAATATTGTTGTCGTTAAAGTAATAACACGGTGATATTACTTTATTTTTGAATGTTCAATAGGGTGGAACGAAATATTGAAAATATTGATAATTGAATTCTATAAGAAAAAAAAAGTTGCAATTTAGTTTCCTGATTATGGGAGTTAAAAAAAAAAAAATTTTTTTATATCTTCAGGTGCCGCAAGAGGGTTGAAAAATTTGACTGTGAAGGTAATTTTTTCGTTTTTGTCACTTATCTTTTAATCTATTCTATTCACAGGAAAAATTATAGAATTAAACTTGTAAAACTAAATGTTTACCATAAAAAATGTTATTAGCAAAAAAGCCATATGCATAATACTTAGTTATTAAAATTAAAAAAACAACATATTTTTATCTTTACCGTTGAAATCGTTTATACTAGTTTATTTAAATATTTCAGACGAAATATTCAACATACAATAAAAATATTCGTATAAAAATTGTTTAGAATTTAATTTTTTATAATTTTTGTTGTGTGTATCATATTTTTTATCAAACGTAGTTGTTTTAATCGAGTAATAAGGTAGATTGAATAACTAAATTTTGATTTTTAACTTTCTAATAGTTGGGGTAATATGTATTTTAGTTCCTATATATCACTTATAAAATTACTCTAGTCTAGTTTAAAATTAAGAAGTGCCGTAAGCCATTTGAAATATAGTAATATTGTTTTCTTATGATTACTGGGTTTTTCTATTTATGCTCTATCTTATTTTAATAAATTTATGAAACGATAATATTTCATTGTCACTTCAATAAACGAACTTGCTTTTGCATTTAATATCGCTGTGCATTCGTATAGAGTCGTGTTTAGTTAATTTTATGCGCAACGTGTGTTAAATATTTGTTAAAAATGGCTGGTGTATTGACAAGAAATAAATCAAAATGTTTAATTTTTGGAGATGCTAAAGAACTTACTAATAATATATTACCAACTTATGAAGACGTTATGCAATATTATTTGTATGTAAAACATCAACTTAAACCCGATATTACTTCAAAAGAGCAAAGTGTAAGCTCTATAGCTGATATTGTAGCAACTAACATAGAAAATATATGGCACAAAGCATCAATTCCAATAGTATCACACACACGAGTATTACAATTAATTAAAACGTACTATGACAAGTATCGGAATATACAAACGTCAGCGAAGACGTCAGTGAGACGTATAAAAAAAAATTGGAAAAACTCCTAACTGAAGCAAGAATTAGTCTTTTTGACATTGCGGCATGTAAATGTGTTGATTTTAGTACTTGTATAAGTGAAAAATCTTGAAAAGTTTCACATATTGAACAAATATTTATTAAAGATCAAAGAACAACCAGAAAAATGTTTATATCTCTAGTTGACATTTCAACTACTAAAAAGTTTCAAAAAAAAGCTATAAGAAAAGAAGTTGATGCAAAGCGAATTGTAAGGCATAAGTTATTAGAAATTTATGAGAAATCTAATTTAGATGAAGTTAATATTGAATTTGATGAATCTGTTGAAATTAATGATGAATATAATAATTCTGACGAAGATTTTACAATAACTTCAAAACCATCAACATCATAATCTGATATAAAAAAACTCACAGATGAGACTTAAGTTACCGGCCCTAGCTTTGGCTTGCGATAGAACTGGAATTTCATATGGATCAGCTGATAAAATTGCAAGTACTGTACTCCAGGATATTGGTATTATTTCAATAGATAATAAAAACAGTGTTGTAGATAGAATGAAAGTCCGAAGAGCAAGAGAAAAAAAACGTTTAGATTTACAAAAACTAGAAAATGAACTAATTTTAGGATTATATTTTGATGAACGTAAAGATAAAACTATAATAAATCATCAAAAGGGAACTAAATATTATAGAAAAATTATTACTGAAGAACATATATCACTTATTCAAGAACCAGAATCGAAATACATTGGTCATACAACACCAAAAAGTGGATCTGCTTTAGAAATTAAAAATAGTATTATTCATTTTTTAGAAACAAATAATTTAAGTACTTCACAAATTATTGCGATTGGTTGTGATGGCACAGTTACCAATACCGGCTTTAAAACAGAAGTAATTCGTCAAATAGAAGAATATTTAAAAAAACTTCTGCAGTGGCTTGTTTGTTTACTCCATTCTAACGAGCTTCCCTTGCGTCATTTATTCAATCACCTAGATGGAAAAACATCAGGGCCCAATGGATTTTCCAGATCACTAGGCAAACAATTAGAAATATGTCACAAACTTCCAGTAGTTGAATTTGTCCGTATTGAAGGCAACTTACCTTTTTTAAAAAATGAAGTTGATTTTAGCAGTGATCAAAAATATTTGTTAGAAATGTGTCAAAGTATTTTTAGTGGTAAGTGTAGTATTGATTTATCTAGAAGAAATCCAGGGAAGCAAGCCTACTCTAGGTGGCTTACTACTGCAAATCGAATTTTACGTCTATATATTAGTACGAGTTCTCCAACAGAAAATTTGAAAATTTTAACTGAATTTATTTTAAAAGTGTATGGTTCCATGTGGTTTCATATAAAAATTAATCCATTTTGTACATCTGGATCAAAACATCTTTGGAGGACCATGAAATATTCACGGTATCTACTTAATAACTTATTAAAAATTATTGACCCTGTTATTCAACGAAATGCGTATTTTGGCTCATTCAAAAATATACTGATATGTATGTTACTCGATAATGGTTACGCCATCAGAAAAATAACTTTGTCCAAAATTATTTATGCTCGGCAGAATAAAAATTATCAATCGATTTGCTCTTTTGAAATCTCACCATTAAATTTTAATGCTAAAGACTACGTTGAACTAATTGATTGGTGAAAAAATCAAGTCACTGAACCTCCACTTACATCTAACATTGATCAAGACACCTTAAGACAGGTACACTTGTTCACTTAATTTTTATAATAACTTAAATTTCAATTGGATTTTAGATTGTATTAAGTCACAAGAAGAACACCTTAGAAATTTTTTATTTACCTTGTCATACACAAGCTGTCGAAAGAAGCATAAAATTAATAACAGAAACATCTACAGCTGTATGCGGACCAGCTAGAAGGGATGGTGTTATAAGGGCTAGGATTGAGTCTCGTAGGATTATGCCTCATTTTAATTCTAAAAAATATTTTCAATTTAATTAAGTTAATGTTTTTACCTATATAAAAAATTAATACATTACAATAAATCAAAAATATATTTAAAACTCTTAAGTAATGTGTTCTGTAAATTTCGTAAAATTTTGTAATATTTTTAAGATTGTGATTATTTATACACATATTTGATTATGGACTACAACTTTCTAATAATATTAGAATTTGCAAAATAAAATTTGTTTTCGTTCCACTCTACTATTAATATTCCTAAAAATCTATTTTTTTTATAACGGGTAATTTAAATAAAAAAATATCCAGTTGATAAAAAAATTTGAACCAATATTTTAAAAGATATTAACACTTTTATACTAAGTTGGAGGGAAAAAGACTTTTTTTGCAAACTAATACTTGATTAAAACAACTACGTTTGATAAAAAATATGATACACACAACAAAAATTATAAAAAATTAAATTCTAAACAATTTTTATACGAATATTTTTATTGTATGTTGAATATTTCGTCTGAAATATTTAAATAAACTAGTATAAACGATTTCAACGGTAAAGATAAAAATATGTTGTTTTTTTAATTTTAATAACTAAGTATTATGCATATGGCTTTTTTGCTAATAACATTTTTTATGGTAAACATTTAGTTTTACAAGTTTAATTCTATAATTTTTCCTGTGAATAGATAGAATAGATTAAAAGATAAGTGACAAAAACGAAAAAATTACCTTCACAGTCAAATTTTTCAACCCTCTTGCGGCACCTGAAGATATAAAAAATTTTTTTTTTTTTTAACTCCCANGAAGATATAAAAAAATTTTTTTTTTTTTAACTCCCATAATCAGGAAACTAAATTGCAACTTTTTTTTTCTTATAGAATTCAATTATCAATATTTTCAATATTTCGTTCCACCCTATTGAACATTCAAAAATAAAGTAATATCACCGTGTTATTACTTTAACGACAACAATATTAATGAATTGATCAAATGTTATTTGTGGTACCTTATACTTTTACCTTTTAAATATTCTATTATGGTTATGTATACAGGGTATTTCACAATGTTCTGGAATTTTGTCATAAGAAATATAAGTGGAAATGTTGAAAAATCATAAGACACTGTAATCTGTATTATAAAAGTTATATAGAATATATTATAGAAAAATTATGTTGATCCATACACTTTTCAATATGTCATAGCATAATAAAGTTAAAAATGTAAAATACAAAATCGAGAATTTTCACACAAAATAGCATTTGGTAGACATTTTCATCGTGAAGATAAAATAAAGTCTAATTTTTTTTTTTTGCATGATAGTGTATATTACATTATCTTTAATTTAAGATATATATTAGTGTCAGACTATCCGGAACATTTTCAAAAGTCAAGTTGACAAAGTTAATTTTCAGGAAAAATTTGTCATTTTAAATCCCCCCTATGCCGGGTAAAGGGTCAGATTTATAAAAAAAATATACCAAATGAAAGGTAATGATATCATGCATTTATATAAATAACATTTTTATTGATTTGGTGATTTTTGAAAAAGTTATAGCAGTTTTAATTGGAATTGAACTCCAAATCACTATGTATATGACTTAAAGAAATAGTGTGTTTTTAGCTATGACAGCCATTTGTGAATAGAAAATAAATCATTGGGACATTTTTTTTTAGTCATGGTACGCAAAATAAGCTTTACCTTAACATATGTTTAAAAGGCGCAGTGCTTCCGGAACATTTTTAAAAATTAAATTGTTAAAGTTTACTTTTTGTGAAAAAATTATTATTTTAAATCTTTCTCTATAAGTAAGAGAAGAATCAGATTATTAAATAATAGAAAAATACCTAAGGTGTTTACATAAAACAAAATTTTTTAATTCGTTAATGTTTCAAAAAGTTATGACAGTTTTATAAAAAAAGTTGTAAATTGTCAAAAATTACCGATTTTTAAAATTATAATTTCTTAAGGGAATTCTCCCGTTTACAGGAAACCAGGGAATCTTTTTCAATTTTTAAGGACAATGTCTTAAATTAGTTACAATTTGTAATATTTTGACGAACCGTTAAAAGAAATCGGTTCTGTGTGAGCTGAAAAATTACCGACTTACAAAAGTTTCGCACTATAGTTAAAATCTTTCTCTAGGTACCAAGACTACAATTTAAAGTTTATTTTCAAACCTAGTAAAAACATGTCAATGAGTAGATAAAAATATTTCTATAGTTACTTAATATTTATATAAAAAATTTGTTACATTTTAATATATAAGTATAAATTTTAATTCTTAACAAAATAGAAAATTTTATTTTATGATAATAAAATTTTTATTCCATACATAACTTAATATCTTCTATAACTAAAATTAGTATCAAAAAAATATATTAATGTCTCAGTCGAAAAAAATAACAAAAACTACACAAAATCATGGACAGACTAATCGGGCAATTCCGATTTCTTTAAATCGAAACTCAAGTATTTTGAATGTAGGAAGTCAGTTCAAACTTGGTAAAAGGTTCGGAAAAGGTAATTTTGGGGAAATTAGGCTTGGAAAAAATCTTATGAACAATGAAGAAGTGGCTATCAAGACGGTATAGTTATAATTTATTTTTATTTTTTTCAATTAAAATTAAAAATTACTTAAATACGTACATACTAAGTGTCTCAATATACAAGGACGTATTTAATGAAAAACAAACCGACAAAAAATATAATCAACACTTAATAATAATTTTTTTATTTACTTCAGTAACTTCTAATTTCAATCATTGTAGGGGCTCAATATTTTAGTTATGATTAGGCCTATGAATGATTAAACAAGGCTCGTTTATACAAAATAAATCTAATATATAATAATATAAGCTCTGCCTTAACGATTTGACGGAATTTTACAACTGTTGTCGACTTCCCGAAATCTAATTAAGGCTGAGAAAACAAATATAGTGGCAAGATGTGTGACACTGATAAAGTTCTCGAATGGTCACCCATCCAGGAACTAACACCAAACATCACAGTTTAATATTAACGGCGACTGTATAACCACTACGTCACACTACACCTACCTAAATTTAACTTCATAGTAATTAATAAATAATTATACTAGTGGTTGCTTGTGGGTGCTAGCGGTGGGGATGTGACTTTAAATATAATACCTCTAGTCAAAGGTATAAAAAATTGTCAAATTAAATATAATAAAATAAAACACAATACACATATTATTATTTTAAATGTCACAGTAGAAAATAGAAATGAAAATAATCATAATAGCGATTATACTATTATAACAACCGATAATGTCAAGCAATTAATTCTAAAAATAAATTACCTAATATACTAATAATTTACCGTATGGATCGTCCAAATTCTCTATACGTTCCCGCATATACTGAGAAAACAACTTAAATGTTTGCACACGAAAAGTATATTAAAACTATTTTATTATTTAAAAATTTGCATTTTTAATAAAAATGTAGAATTAAGAATATAATATTAATTTCCTTCTTTTAATTAATTTTAGTAGGAGTGCGATCGTCGCGTCGTCCAAACCACGAGCCGCCACTGAATCATACATAAACATAAATAAATATAAATTTCATAATTTATTTATTATATAACTGTTTTTATATTTAAAAATTCTATAAAAAACTTTTACTGATTTGAAAATAAACCTTTTTAATGGAAAACTTACGACCCTAATACGTTTCTTGTAGATAAAAAAAATCATGCACATTGATAGTATATATTATAATAACTTTTAATTTAAGGTTTATTAATTTGTTTACCAATTTCATGATGAGATGTTTTTTAATCATTTCATTGAAGGTTTTAATTATAAATGCAAATAGTGTATGAGACTGAAGGTATTTGTGAACACTTCAAATCTTTTAGAACTTATAAGTTCTAAAAGCCGTATAAAGTTATTATGTAAGTTATTTTTAGATTTTAAGCACAAAAATTGAGGACATGTAATTATTATATTGACTTATTTATAGAATTATATTACTCATTGCACCCTAATAGCATTATTAAAAAGATATTTATACACTACTGATAATGAATATTGTTGGATCGCTTTAAAATTTGAAAATTATCTCAATCCCTTATAAGTAATTCCAGTAGACACTCTTATATGGCCTATACTATATAGTATAGATCTATCCATAAGAACTTATCCATATGGATAAGTACTAACATGCACAATTCAGGTCTAATAGGACTTTTGCTTCTAGAATTCATCTTCACTAAAATAAAAGCTTTAAAGAATTAATTTGTTAATCTACACATAATCAAATGACTAACAAACCAATTAAACCTTGATGCAAAGCTAAAAAACTCATTAAAATATCATTTTAAGTATCATCAAATGTTTTTTGTAAATTTACTGATTGTACGTTTGTACATATTTTTTCATTATACTTTTTTTTTAATGAGTTTTTATTTTGTATTAACATGATTAAATTATTTTAAATACTTTTACAGGAATCAATTAAATCTAAAATGCCTCAATTGTCACTAGAATTTAGATTATATAAAATATTGGGAGCAACAGGTTTGTCATTATTTTATGACACTACAACTCATATTATTTCTGTGCTAAGCATATTTGTTAATGATATTTTCCATAGACAAATATCATACAATTAATGGTATTCCAAAAGTATTCTATTATGGAATGGCAGGGAAATTATACAATGCATTGGTTTTAGAATTGTTAGGGCCGTCACTAGAAGATTTATTCACTATGTGCAATAAGAAGTTCACCTTAAAAACTGTTCTAATGATTGCTATTCAAACAGTAATTTTTTTATACCAATAAGAAATTGATTTTTAAGCTTTTTAAGTGAAAATATCTATATTCCTTTAACAAATAATGTTGTTTTCATCGTTTATTAACAAAAAGTATTAATGTAGTTACACAGAATTGAATATGTGCATAGAAAACGTTTAATATATAGAGATGTAAAACCTGAAAATTTTGTTATTGGTAGACCATCACTGAAAAAAGACAACATAATTTATATTATTGGTAAAATACTAAAAACTAAGTTCACATACATATTTAAAAATAAAACTGTTTGATATTATTTAATGATACAAGTTTAGATTTTGGATTGGCTAAAGAATACCAAGACGCACAAACAAATAAACACATTCCTTATAAAGAGAATAAAAATCTCACTGGAACAGCTCGATATATGAGTATTAATACTCATATGGGAAAAGGTATATTAAATTGATTCCTTTTTATTTTTCGTTTTATTTGGGATGGACTGAAACCCTGAAAGTCGAGGTAAGTATCTTGACTTTTCAAGAGGTTGTTTATAACACTTTGCAGAACTTTTTTATTCGCCATTGGTATTTTTAGCTGTTGTTGAGTCCTAAGTAAAATAGTTATCAAAGGCTTGCATGATAGTCACCAATTTACCACATTATTAGCCCTTCCTGATTTTCATTATTTAATATAATATATCAAATAATTCTGTATTTATATTATTATAAAATATATATAACTTTTAATTTAAGAGCAAAGTCGGCGAGATGACTTAGAATCTCTTGGTCATATGTTTATGTACTTTTTACGAGGCTCCTTACCTTGGCAAGGATTAAAAGCAAACAATCTTAAAGAGAGGTATCAAAAAATTGGTGAAACCAAAAGAAGCACACCAATTGAATCACTGTGTGAAGGATATCCAGGTTATTATAATTTATGTTCAAATGATTTGATTATATTTGGTAATATCATATTTCTAGATATAAAAATTAGTAGTAGAACTTGACCAATGACGTCGATTAATTTATTTGGAGAATTTAAAAAAATCCATTCAACATGAACAAATTTAATCTAAAATTTATCTTAAAATTCAGTAAATTATTGAGTGTGGGATTAGATCCCCATGTATTTTAATTTCTGGATACCATTAATTCAGTTTTAATTTTTAATGAAATAATGGATAATCTTAGATTTTTTATCAAGGAGAGCAGGTTTATTTTTATAAATTCAATCTCAATTAGTTAATTACCAAAACCATGTTATTTCAAAATTGCGAGATAAAATTAAAAAAATAGTATTCTCAGAATTGTTTTACATTAAGGGGGGATATCTCCCTTAATATGGTTTTTGATGTACACAAAGTATCATTAACTTATAATTATATGATTTTGTGTTTATAGAAATGGCCGAATATTTGAAATATTCCAGGAATCTTGATTTTTCTGAAGAACCAGATTATGAATATCTTCGAAAAATTTTTAACGATTGTTTGAAAAATAATTCTTTAACAAATGATCAAAAATTTGATTGGACTGATAAATTAGTTGTGAGTAGGTTTAAATTTAGAAAACACATTTAGCATTAACAAAACGAAGGTTTAATTTTAGAGGCCACAAAAATGCTGACTTATTGGATTATACGCACTAAATTATTACAGCTTGAAATTTTTGTTAACAAAATCAATTAAATAAAAATAGTTTACTAACTGAGCATAAGATTATTAAAGTTGTAATACTATATACTATATACATTACTATATATACATTGTATATATATAACTATTCAAACTACTATTAATACTAAAAATTTGTCAAAATTACTTTAAATTTGCTAATTATAGTATATAAATGACTTTTAAAAATCATGAGTATTTAAATCATTAAGCTACTTAATGGTAGGCTGAAATGAAAAGGCCCGGAGTGCAAATATGTTTTACTTTTTATTTATAATTTTCTAAACTATAATTTTTGGAACTCACTTCAGCACTCCCTAAATGTCTAATGCTTATAATGACTAAATGAAAGTGTAAAATTTTATTTAATCCAATATTGATTATTACACACAATTACAATTATTTTTTCAAATAGACTTAGATGGTATGGTCATGCTATGACGAGAGAGGAAACGGAAGCTGTAAGAACAGTTATAGAAATGAATGTTAAAGGAAGAAGAGGTAGAGTAAGACCAAAAAAAAGAGACGGAGGGATGTAATTGAATGCGTTATGAAGGCGGCTGATGTGAACATAGATGATGTGGTGGATCGTGTCAAGTGGAAGTTTAGGATAAGGGTGGCCAAATAGTTGGAATTAAGGCGAGGAAAAAGAAGACGACACAAAATTACAATTATTTAGTCTATAGATAGCAAATATAATAATTTTGTATTTTTTCCTTATATTTTGTCCCAAATTATCGCTAGGCATAAATCTATAACTCGTATTTTTCGTCAATTATAAAATGAATAGTTTTAATTCATTAAGCGGATCACGCTGTATATGTATAATAATATTTTTAATAATAATATTAAAAATGTTCATAATGCAAGAATATAAACAATTTTTTTTAAGTACCATTGTAGACTGTATGTGTTATTTCATATTAAATTCTTTATAAAAAAATTTAAAAATTTTTTCAGTTTTAATTCATTAATAAATTTTGTTTTTTTTATTGCTACTACTTATTTAAGTTTAATTTATAGAGCAAAATTTGTTACCAACTATAATGTGTTAACTTTAAATTCTATTTATCTTAAGGTGTTTTAATATTAAATAAATTAATTAAAATATAAGTAAAACATTCTAGTATCATAATTTGAATTGTTGTTCCGTTTTTTGTGCGATAAATGATAATATTATTATTTTGTATTATCAGTAATATATAATATTACTGAAGAATGATATGATAATAATTTTAATTTGAAGATATCATGTTAAAAACAACAAATTTATTTATGTATTATGTATATATATACCTTATAAAGTTCTACTTTCAGTTCAAATAAGGTATAACTGTTAAATTGTGTGACTAACATATTGTATAAATAATTAAAATGTTACTTGAGACTAATAGATTGCAAATATGCGAAGAAAGAAAACATAATTAAGATATATCAAGAGTATTGAAATTTAAATGAAATCTGAAAAAATATTACTGTTTACAGAATAAGCTTTATAATCTGTAATACTTATATTATATAATGGATAATAATACTTTATTTACTGGTATTAATCAATCTCATATAGATGATTGCAAACCATCATGTAGTAATCACAACACAGACAATATAAATAATTCACCTATTCAATATTTTGGAGACTTCGGTAGGTATTTAAGTGAACAATATTCTGTTTTAAAACTTGTACTTTGTCATTTGGACTACTATGATTTATGTACTATGCGGCGAGTTAATAGTACATTTAAAAGTGTTGCAGATATTATACTTCTTCGTAATCGCATGCATATTCAGTATACCACTTTAGAATATAAACAAGGAATAAATGAAAACTGTTTATCAGAAAATATGCTTATTGATAAAAAAATTGGCAATTCTGGGCATAGTAATCATTGCATTGATTTAAGAATTGAGCCAAAAACTCTTTTTACCTTTGAATGTATGCCAGGAAGTGGTGGACCATCGAGATGTCGTCCTAAAATTTGTACTAGATTAAGAGAAAGTACTAGTAGAAATAATGGAGATGATAGAAGTAGAGACACAGGTGGTTTTTTTCCTAGAGGAGATATTGTTCCTAATTCAGTCACAACTTTCATTCCTATTGGAGCCAAAGGAATTATATACACAGGTAATAAATCCAAAAATAAGAATTCAATGGAATTATTGGTCTCATATTCATCTCATGATAAAAAACTGGTACTGCTATACTTGCCTACCAGTAAGAAATATGAAGTAAATGTATTTACTCGTGTTATAACTTCTAATTCTTCAGCTTCAGTAAATTGCCTTTCTCAAGATGAAAGTATGTTATTTAATCAACAAGGATCACCAATTCGTGGTCTTATATTTTTGAAAGTTGGATCTTCAACACAAGTTGATACTTTGATTAAGTCAATAGTAAAATTGGCAACAGAAAGTAATAATTCAATTCCCATTGCTGTGTCCGGTGGTCATATTACAAGCTTAGATTATAATAATCCTCAAAAAAAAAAGAACAGTTTAATTCCTGGTGTACTTGAAGTAATTATTTTTCGAGGGAATGGTATTCATTGCATCAGTGATGTTATTTCATCAACAACAGAACCAGGAATAATTGCAGGTTTGAAAGATACAATGAAGCATATTAAAGAAACTTGTTTGTTAGAGGGTATTACAATAGACTCGCGGCGTAGTTTCATATTGTCTTTTCAGTGTATTGATAGACAACAGCTTGAAGATCATAAATACCTATCTAAAATATTTCCAAATATTCCATTATTTGGTGTACAAACCTGGGGAGAAATAGGATTAAGATCTTTCACTAATGACGAATCAAATTGTTTAACTAACAAAAAAAAGAAGTTTTCAATAATGCATTCTGTTAAAACAACTTTCATGTTTGTAACTTTAAATTAATTATATATTAGACTCTAAGACTTACTTTTTATAATTTATATATATTTCATAATTATTATATATCTACTCCAAACTTATAATTAAAATTTATTTCTTTGGCTATTCATAAAATTACTTAAGTATGTATTGAGAAAACTATACTTATGAAAAAAATCTGGTACAGTTAATACCCAGCAGAACAGCCTTAACTAGACCAGTATATATGTAAGGCATAGTTAAAACTAGTATAAATGAAAATTTCATAGTTATATAGTCACTGTTTTATAATTTTTTGATGCAAGAATGTGTTTGTTAAACATTTGTTGGAAAATATTAGGGAGAATTATTTTTTAACTGGGAAAGAATCATATTAATCTTCTGAATTTGATGGTCAGGAAGAAAAAGTATTTTTCTAACTTTTTTGGAAAAATTATAAATAATTTATTTTGATTCTAAAATGTTAACCAAATGTTATTTTTGACTTACGAGATTGAATAAAGAAAGCGCTTAAAATACATTAAAAATAACTGTAATTAAGGATCAGAATTAACAAACTTAAAGTAAAACCTGCCTTATATTTGAAGAAATAGAAATAATATACAATTAGTCTAAAAATTATCTAAGACGTTAATATAAATACACTTTAAAGACTTTTTTCCTCATTATTTTTAATTAGTGACAATAGTTCATGAGAAGATGCCTTCTTTCTAAATCCTCTAATGGCTCTAAATAGCAAATAAAGCAGAGGGTACTAATTACTATTAATCATATGAGCTTTTCATTTATAAATTCAATTACTTTTGAATAAACATAAATGGAGTACTTGTTAAGAGTTTTTAAAAGTAAAGGTCATTGAGTCTTAAGTGTTCAACTCGTTTTAATAACTGAATAACTTTTTAGAAATTTCTTGTAAAGATATATAATTAGTATAGGAAAAATCCTACGATAAAGTAATAAATATAAAATCGTAAGTTTTGATAATCAATAACTAGTTTTCTGTTATCATCGTAGACTAAAGAATATAGCAACCATTTATCAATACTTGGTTGGTTATATGTCCGTTTTGAAATATTGTAGACAAATTTTTGTATTCAATCTTTTATGATAATATAAAATTGTATTCGATAAAAATATTTTTACAGTTTGCAACCTTTAGTTACTAAACTTTTTTATTAGTGATTATATTGTTAAAAATAATCATCTAATAATAATTTCATAACAAAAATATGGATTTTTTTGATGATATAAATAAAGTAGTCCCTTGTGAGGCTGAATGGGGAAAATGGTGGCAAAGTTTGGAAGAAGTACACATTGAAGTTCGTGTGCCTAAAGGAACTAAGTCTAGAGATGTCAAAGTTGAAGCTTCTAATAGTCAAATTACGTGTAATGTTGCTGGGAAAATATTATTTTCAGTGAGTAAACTACATTTTTTTAAGAAAATAAAATATTTTATATAATCAAATTTTATAGGGTAGTTTATATAAAAAAGTTAAAGGAGCGGAATTACTTTGGAGTTTGGAAGATGGAGGCTCTTTACTTGACATAGTATTAGTGAAATTAAATTATGTTGGAGGTGAAGAACCATGGCCTTCTTTAATGGATGATTCTAGGTATAAAGTTGAACAAAATGCTTATGAAGAAATGAAAAAGAGTGCTGAACTTGAAAAGCTAAAACAGCAGGTAATTTTTTACAAATTTTTGTAATTTTAATATACATCTTTAATTTGTCAAGACTAATGCTATCCAGGTTTTTTTAATTAAGTAGGTTCATAGCTAGACAATAGAAAAGTCATCAATTTATTTGTATTGAATTTTTTTGCTTATCACTCCATGGTATCTCCTGGCTTGCACTAGATTATGTTCTGATTGAATTAGATTATTACGATTAGATAAATAATAAAAAATGTGTTTTTAACATAGCCGAAAAATTTAACATAGTATATAGACATTATTTTAAATGAAATAACAAAAATATTTGCTGCTTCAAAAGTAATTAAAGATTTCAGAACATGGTAAAACATCTGTATAATACACAGGTGTCCTACCATGTTATGTGCAACATACTATGCATTATTATATTTTTATACTTGAAATTTAGCAAGATATGTCTATTATGTTGTATTAATATAGAACATTTTTATATTGCTTTAAACTTCAAAAAGTTAAAAAAATTTCCATGTAAAAAATATGATATATATTTTATGTCATAGCTATTTTAGATAAGAACAACAAGTACTGTTGTCAGAAAGATTGAGAAATTATAAAATATATTTAAATATAATAAATTATAAAATTAAGTATGTTAAAAGCAATTTTTTTATTATGTTTTAATCTATACTTTAAAAATTCACTTAAATATAAGTTTCTTCTTAAATTAGTAGCTTAATTGAAAATAAAGTATTTTGTTTACTTTGATAGCCGATATTTCATAGTGCTATACTCATTTTAAAAGTGATCAAATATTTTTGAGGCCAACTTCCTAGAACCAACTTTATTTTTTTTGATGACAACATATATATTATTTTCTTCTTCTTATTTTTCTTCCTTGCCTTAATCCCAACTACTTAAGGTCAGCTACCCTTATCCTAAACTTCCACTTGGCACGATCTCCCATATCCTCTACGCTCACATTAGCCGTCCTCATATCGCATTCAATAACATCTCTACATCTCTTTTTGGTCTTACTCTACCTCTTTTTCCTTCAACATTCATTTCTACAACTGTTCTTATGGCTTCCGATTCTTCTCTTCTCATAACATGACCAAACCATCTAAGTCTATTTTCTCTTATCTTATCTTCCCTAGTCAGTCCACTCATCCATCTAAGCATTCTCATCTCTGCTACACTCATTCTCTGCTCTACTTTCTTATCAACCGCCCAACACTCTAAACCATACATCATAGCTGGGGTCTCACTACAGTCTTGTAGAATTTACCTTTCAGCCTCATGGGAATTCTTTATCGCATAAGACACCAGACGCTTCTCTCCACTTCAACCACTCGCACTTAATCCTGTGTCTTACATCCTCGTCAATACCACCACTCTTTTGCACAACTGATCCTAAATACTTAAAATTTTCCACCTCTCCAATCACATCCTCGCTATTGTCACTGGTCTCCTTTTTTCACCTACCTCGTGTTCTCCTTTATCAAACTCGTACTCTATATACTCTGCTTTATTTACTCCTACTTATTCTTAAACCCTTTTTTTTAAGAGCTGATCTCCACATCTCTAGCCTTTGATTAATTTCCTCCCTATTTTCTCCTATTAACACTATATCGTCAGCAATCAACATGCACCATGGCACCTCTCCTTGTATTTCTCTAGTAATTTCATCCATCACTATAGAAAATAAGTAAGGGCTTAAAGCAGACCCCTGATGCACTCCTACTCTTACCCAAAAACTTGTTACTCCTCCCACACTTTTTACCCTAGTACAAGTGCCATCATACATATCCTCTAATATATTAATGTACCTTTTCGGGACTCCTTTTCTCATTAATACCCACTTTAAAACCTCTCTCAGCACTCTGTCATACACTTTCTCCAAATCTATAAATACCATACAAAGCTGTTTCTTTTTTTCCCTAAACTTTTCTATTAGTTGCTTCACACAAAATACTGGCTCCATTGTTGACTTACCAGGCGTAAATCCAAACTGGTTTTTAGATACCAATGTCTCATTTCTTATTCTCTTATCTATTACCTTTTCCCAAATTTTCATACTATGACTCATAAGCTTTATATCTCTGTAATTTCCACACTCCTGTATGTCGTCTCTTTTACCTTTAAATATCGGCATCACAATACTATTCCTTCATTTATTTGGTATTTTCCCTTCTAATAAGATTTTATTTAAAAGTTCCTTTAACCACCTTATGCCAACACCGCCTAATATTCTGCATACTTCTACTGGTACTTTATCTGGTCCTACTGCTTTATTCTTTTTCATTGATGCCACATCCTCCCATACCTCTTTCTCACTAATTAAATCTACCAGTCCCTCATTCCACGAGATATCCTCTAATGTCTATTTTGGGTACTCCTCATTCAATAATTTTTCAAAATACTCTCCATCTTTTTTTCACATCATCATCACTCGAGAGTACCTTATTATCAACACTTTTTGTACACCTTATATAATGATAATCTTTAGACCTTTTTTCTCTTATCTTTGCAAGTCTATAGATTTCTTACTCGCCTTCCTTTGTTCCTATCCTATCATACAACTCATCATACCTCTTAAACTTCGCCTTACTTACTGCACACTTGGCTTCTTTGTACAAGCGTCTATCCATCCAGTCTTCTCTTCTTTTGCTCTTCTGCCATACTTTGAATTGCTTTTTCTTACTTTCTATGATTTTTTAAACATCCTCATCCCACCATCAGGTTTCCTTGTTTTCTGGCATTCTACTCCTACTATCACCAACAATCTCTTTTGCAGTATTCGTTACATAACTAGCAAATCTATTCCACACATAATTTATGTCTCCCTCGACATTCCACACCGTCTTTACAAACTCTTCTTCATTATCCCCTTTCAATTTCCACCACCGGATCTTCGATTTTTCGATTTATTTTTCTTCTATTTTTGTTTATTCTCTTTACGGTACACCACAACTCTATTACTATTAGTTTATGTTGTGTAGTTACACTCTCGCCTGGTATATTTTTACAATCTTTTACTCGCTTTACGCTCTCTCTCTTCCACATAAAATAATCGATCTGTGATCTATTTCTTCCACTCTTATATGTTATATAATGCTCTTCCCTCTTTCTGAAATAAGTATTAATCACAGCAAGATCTTGCGATACTGCGAAATCCAGTATTCTTTCTCCAGCCTCATTCTTTCCACTAAAACCATACCCTCCATGTACTCTTTCATATCCTCTCCTCTCATTACCTATATGTCCATTCATATCTCCACCTATTACCACATCCTCATTGCCAGGTACCCCTTGCATCTCCTCATCCATCTCTCTACAAAACACTTCCATGTCTATTTCATCACATTCCACTTGTGGTGCATAGGCACTTATTACATTCAGCACTTTTTCTTCGAATATCAATTTTACGACCATAATTCTGTCACTTTTCCTAGCTACTTCTACTATTCTTCTTTTCATCTCCTCATCCATTATTATCCCTACACCGTTCTTTGTACTAGACTTACTTGAGTATATTATTTTATAACCCTCACCTATTTCCCTTGATTTCTCTCCTTTCCTCTTAGTTTCCTGCTCACAACAAATGTTAACTTTTCCCCTCTTCAATACTTCTACTAATTCTCTACTTCTACCAGTTAATGTTTCAACATTCCAAGTACCTATTCTTACATTGTATCTATTTTTCTCCTTTATACACGAGTCCAGTCTAGAGTTAAGTGGTGATGTCCCTACACCGTTGACACTACAAGCAAAAACATATATATTATATACAATATATATTTTTATACATGACTAGAGATGGAACTTAGTAAAGTAATGTGTAAAAACAACATTATCCGCACCTCTCCAAGTAGTCTACATTAAAAAATTGTTATAATTTATAATATACTGGTTTAAATAAAAGTTTTAAAATATTGTGTAAGTTATTAAATCTAAACATAATTTTACCTATTGACTTCAGTTTAATATTATATTTAAATTAACAGTATTTTTAGTCTACTTAAATTATAAATCACTATTTGTAATTAAATCAACTCCCATAAATTGTATGTGTGTATTTTTAAATACTATACAGGATTGAACTTCCAATCTGTATAGTGTTTAAAAATGGAACAGATCTAATGGTTAACTTTTTTTTAGTTATTTATACATTCTTAGACTTCATTAAAATCATATTAGCTTTGAAGTAAAGCTGAAAAAATATAGCTTAAAAATAGTGATAGTGTTTTTTTTTTTATATTAATGAAAATTATCAGCTCTCACTGGACCAAATTTAATGATTTTAATGAACAAAATAATCCTATTTTAATATTGTTCAACCTATCAGTAACGAAAATTTGAAACAAAACCTCTTTTTTATTAATTTAAAAATGATCTCAGAATTATACTATCATAAAAAATAGTATTTTTAATCATTTTTTTCTGTATTTTAAAAGTGATATAATTTTTTTCTAAACACTCATCCAAATGAGATTTTGATAAAGTTAATAGCTTTCTTTTGGTATGATTTTTTTGGAAAGGTTTAAAAGAGACCACACACGCATGTATACACATTTTTTGAGATTCAATTTTAAAAAATTAAATAAATTTTCCAGTTTTAATGATATTAATTTTATTTTTGATATTTTGAATTTATTTTTTATCTCTTCAATTTTTGTTATCGCATCTGAGATAAAAAGTAATTTTTTGTTTCTAATTTTTTTATTATATCTGAAATTATTTTAAATTCGGATTTTATGTAAATTTAATGGACTTTTAACGTAGGATCTTTTATTATATCTTGGAATTTTATAATAGAAATAGTCTTTGTTATTTAATTGAAGTAGTATTTTTTTAATAATCTCTAAGTTGTCATAACAATAACAATTAACAATAAAAAGCTGCATTTGGCCATGTACCACCCCCCCTCCACACACACATTAGGATAGGTTGTGGTGGATGTAGAAAATCAGATGTCATTTTCAAAATAGTGTACGGGATGGAGCTTTTAAAAAAAAATTTTGATGTTAGAAATGAGTTCATTAACTAAAAGAAATTTAAGTCAACCCCGGAGGCTGCGTTTTTTAAATATAAAATAAGCTTTTCATGAAGAATACTAGCGGGCTTTAAAATTGTAAGTGATCATTCGTACAGTTGAGCAGTTGTATAGTAGTTTGTTTTTTCAAAGCCACGGAGTTAAATAAATATACTAGTCAAAGTCTACTTGTTTGTAAAGTTCCGACATTAGCTACATGAAGCTCCTCTTGATTTGTGGTTTCACTTATTGAAATCCAAATATTACGATTTTCAACTGAGCTTTGCTTTGAATTGCATATCTCTGATTCTTTTAATTTTAAATTATTTTTATATTAAGACTTTTTCTGGGTGTTGTAACTTTCGGCATTTTAAAATACTACTATATATAAATAATATACATGATTTTATGTGACGCATGACACTGACTAATCAGTTTCGGTCAAATAAACTTCACTAATATGAGTGAATTGACAAATATTAAATATCATACCTCTGATCATGATTTTGTTAATAAAATTTATAAGACTATTAATAAATAACGTTATAACATATGATATCACTAAAATATTTACTATAAATGAAAATATTTAATATAAAACTTCTAAATATGCGAAATAGTGAAAATATGTAAAATTAAATAAGTATTATTTTAATGGTATAATAAAAAATATATATTTATATTTTATTCCATTTCAAATAGCTTAATTCAATAAATATATTCATTTACATATAAATCCGTCCCTATTTATTAAACAGGATTTGTAAAGTTTCAAAATCAAATTTTCTCATGTCATATATTGGCTTTGAGCCATAGAACTATTAAATAAAAATATGTTATTGATAATAATGGTAAATATATTTCTTACACTTCATTGATATATGTTAACTAAAAAAAAAAAAGTCAACACTCCTTGTACTGTTAGATGAATTAAATAAATAATTTTTTTCTTTATTAACATAATATATATGCCTACAATTTATACTAAATACAGTAAATTAAATGTTATTTATTTAAAATGGTATGTCACAGGAAAAAAATGTTTTTACAGTTATTGTAAACTTTTGTGTAACACTATGTTATATATATTCACTTTAGTTATGTACCTGCAATTTATTTTCTGTAGATTTAATGTTAATCATTATTTAGCAATTTAATTTTCTGAATCTCAATTAATACATTTATTTATTTTTACAATCAAGGAGTTTCATTCAATGTATTATCCGAGAAGTAGGTATTTAACATAAAAACAAGTAAACTAGTTAAATATATACCTGTCTTTAATAATTGTTTATCAATACTTAAATTTTTCTCGACATAATGTTGTAAAAATTTAATTTATTATTAATAAAAAATTTTTTACAGGTTATGCAACGTATGTAATGAGTAACTAAATCTATTTTTAGTGGAAATACCTGTTCTTCACAGTTTTTGCATTACAAATCTTTTAATTTAATGGTTAAAGATATTTTTTAATGTTTTATAATAAGTAAGTTACTGTAAAAATTCAATATTTTTAAATTAAATATAATAAATGTTCTAATGTAAAAAAAATGATTATAATTATAATTGTACACAAGGACACATATAAAAACCCTTGTTTTTTTCTAAAAATTAATTTTTCATATAAATGTCTTAATTTAATAAACAAAAATATAAAAAAAAAAATTACATAAAAGTAATAGTAGTTTTTGCTTGGTTCACTTGCCATACATTTAACATTTCATATTCTTCAATACAATCATCAACTTGAGAAACATTAAACCCTTTACTTGTGCAGTAATCCTTAATATCACTCATTTTCACAACAGTGCGGCCTCCAGCCAATTCTCTAATCACATTGAAAACACGGTCGACTACTGTTTGAGGTCTATAAATAAACACAAAAAATTAAGTATTTTTATAGCTAGTAATTTCAACAATCAAGGTTGAAAACTACTAATGTAAAACTAAATTAAAAAAATGTTTTTTTCTTTTTAAAATCTGTTGAACTATTTAAGTACATCAGGTAATGATGGGTTATTCATTTACCTGCCAGTTCTTTCATCAACCTGCATTAAGGATATTTTAGACATTTCTAATAATCTCATAGCTTCTACAACATCTTCTTTTTCTACTAAATCTGAAAGTCTAAGTTTTGCTAATGCTGTTGATATTCTAAGAATAGCTAAAAGATTTCTTGCAGAAGTGAATGTGGTGTCCCCATTGTTACGTGAATCTTTACGTAAGTCAACATAAGATTCTACAAGGAAATCAGTTAGTTCTATTGGTACAGTTGGAGATTTCTTTTTACACAAATCAATATAACGACGCATAAGACTCATATCTAATGCTTGTACTTCAGTTGGTGGTTGACGACTGTGCTTGTGAACATAAGTTATATGTTGAGCTAGCCTAAAAATAACATTATAATTATAACTTTTACTATTGATGTTTACAAGGCAAACCACAATACAAATTGTTAAGTAAAATTGACAGCATTTTCAAAAATTCCATAAAAGTTATATAGAACTGTTCACAATGTCGTATGTAAAAAACAATATAAATAGAAATTAATTGAGAAATTTTGAACATTGATTAATATTAAAATTATAGACCTTAGAGAAATTTTAAATTTAAATACATTTTTATATATAGTATTTCTTGCTGGAACACAAAAAGGAATTTTTTCAAGGACTTGAAATAAAAATTTTTTTTTCTTTTTTGTTTTAAAACATTGAATTTTTTCTATATGGTTTGATTAAACAATCCCTACTAATATGTTAAAAGTTTTTAGTATTTAAATATTTTTTATTTTGTTAAACATGAGAACATTTTAAATGATTTTTTTTGGTCCTTTTTCAAAATGACTATTATAGTTTTTTTTTTATAAAAAAAATGTTATATAGAAAATCTCGAAGTTTTACTTAACTACCCTATCTACAATTTTTAATCTCATCACTACTTCCAATACACAATATATCAGTTATTTACTACTAAATCCATTATGGACATATGGTATCATTATGTGGAGTTTAACTAAGTTTCTTATATTAAAACTATCTAAGCTTTCCAAACAAACTGCCTCAGAATAATCACAAAACATACTTGATAAGGTCAAAATGTTTACCTTCACTTTGATCTCAACATAAACTGCAACAGTTTATTATAACTGTTTCCACTCTAAATTACAATCGCACAAAAACAAACTAATCTTACAACTATCATCAAAAACTTTACCTAATAACCCACAATAAGACTAAAAAGAAACTTGACTAGAGTTTTACTCAAGAATGACTGACAATTGTAATATTCTCTAGGTGTCTTAACTATGACACTTCTTAATGAAGTATTTATATCTTTAATTTTAGATTTCAAATTAGTTAACTAGGTTACTTATATAAATTAGTATAGATTGTAAATATAATCTTTTGTACAAAAAAAAAAAAAAAAAAATATAAATAATAAGCAAGAGTTATTACTCATTATTCATACAGATACAAAATAAATATTCCAGGTTATTTGTAACTTACATTTTAAGTTAATTTCATGGGCATAACTTATTGTTTTTATAATTATCTATATTTTGTATTGCATTAATAACATTTGTAAATAATATGTAAAATATGTTATTTATAACATTTTTATTAGTAAACTAAACAAAATAATTTGAAAAATTAAATAACAAAATTTAAATCACATTTTAATCTTTTAGTACTAAGGGGGTTCTGTATAAATTAAAAGAACTAATTATAGAATTTTAATAGTGGATTAAAATTATTAAAGGATAATAATAATATAAATTAATTAACAATACTAACTTAAGATCATTTTCTCGATTTGGTTTGTCCTGTATTAACCACAATAAGTCAAAACGAGAAAGGAGTGCAGCTGGAAGTTGAATATTTGCCTCAATAGAACGTTTAGGATCATATCTTCCATATGCTGGATTTGCTGCTGCTAAAATACTTACGCGTGCATTCAAACGAGTCATAATTCCTGCCTAAAATTCAACATGTTTTTGATAATATGTACAAAAAAAGAAAAATATACTTTATTTATAGTAGAAAAGTATCATACTTTAGCAATAGAAATAGTTTGCTGTTCCATCACTTCATGAATTGCTGTACGATCAGATTCAGCCATTTTATCAAACTCGTCAATACAACAAACACCTTGATCAGCTAATACTAAAGCGCCACCTTCTAAGACCATCTCATTGGTTAATGGATCTCTCATAACTGCAGCTGTAAGACCAACACCAGAAGAACCTCGACCAGTGGTATATTGGCTTCGCCTTGCAAGACGTTCAATATATGACAATAATTGTGATTTAGCAACTCCAGGATCTCCCATTAAGCAAATGTTAATACTACCTATAAAAAAAAAAGTAATAATCAAAGTACCTTTAAAAAGTAAAAAAAAATTCAATTGATTATGGTTTACCTCTAATTTTCATTCCTTCAGGAGCTCTATCAACACCGCCTACCAAAAGTAAAAGCAGAGCTTTTTTAACATCTTCATGCCCATATATTTCTGGTGCTAAACTTGCAGCTAATTTAGTGTAAAAATCTTCTCCTGCTAATTCTAACACTTCTTCTTCAGTCAACTCTCCTTCTCCTAATTTCTCATCATTTAATTTGTTTAAACATTCAATATTCTAAAAAATATTAAATAAAAAAAAATTAATAATAAATAAGTATTCCACTTATAGTGCATACTATCTATTAATTTCAAAAAGTTTACACTACTTATTGTTGTAGTTTTTTGAACCTATATTTTTCTCTTTACAAAAACTTAAAACTGCCTATAGTAGCTGAGAAAATAAGTGTCTGACCAAATTTTGAACATTTTGTATAAACTATACCGAAAATTCATTCCTTATTTTGTTAATGAAAGCATACTTACATGTGCTTCGAGATAAGTATCTGAGAGAAGTCCTTGTTGAATTTGTCTAAAGCCAGTTCTTACAAGTGGTAGAAATATACCAGTTATTGAAACATGATCACCAGGAACTGCTTTACGTGTTGTTTCACCTCGGCAAATAACAGTTAATGATCTAGGTATATGACCAACTGGTACTTGATCACTCTAAATATTATTTATATATTTATTTTACATAAAATTTGTTGTAATATAAAATGTATAACATACCAGTTCTTGTATTTTAAATTCTTGAAACTTTATAAATTTGGATCCTCTAGTTTGTAAGTATAAACGACTACCTGGTTTTGTTGTAGAACATTCAGGGCTAGGACAAAATTCTAAGGGTTTGAATGATAGTGAATTTATCTAAAAAATGAATATTTATTGATTAAAGTCCTGAAGTTTTTCTAAACAACATTCAGTTCTACTTAAAATAATAAAGCTTGGGTTTCAAATTATTTTAATTTGATAATTTAAATTTAAAATATAATACATTTTTGCCCAAAAATTTTATTTTTGAGACTACCTTTAATACCTCATGAATTATTTCAAGTTTAGTGAGGGAGAAAATATGTCAACTAAATTTTTTTATGTAAAAGACTTGTTCTCAATTTAGAATATAGTACTCAGATAAACAATTTATTTATAAATAATTAATGTTAAAAATAACATTAATGTATACGTTTCTTAAATACAATTTTGACCTTATAAATAATTATGATTTGGTACCCCTTACAATAAATAAATTATGGTAATTAAATTTACTTACTGGTTGGTATGTTTCTCCTCCACATAAATCGCAAGAATAGGTAGCAACAACTATCATAGGTTTTACTTCTGTGCTTCTCATTACAATACCCCGTACTGATATCAATTTACCAATACTACTAGCTTTTATATCCCGAATAGGTTGTTCCTTCTTAGTGCTTAGATCTTTGAAATATATTTCGCTAAAATCAAATTAAATAATGTTGTTATAAAAAAAAGCTTAAATTTGATTAATAAAAAAATATATATTACAATCTACGCATTAATTCAGGAGGATATCTGCTTGTTGTAGTAGAATTTTCATCAGGTTGTCTCATTCTCTGTCTTTGCTGAGCCAAAATTCTATGCTCTATATAAACATCTAGTGCGTCCTTGTTTTCTGGCTATAAAATAGAAAAACAGAAATTTAAAAAATTCATTAAAATTCATCACAAACTTTACTTCATGATCTTTGTATGATGGCAACAATTCTTGCACAATATCACCAACCATAGTAGAATATCTACGAGAATTAGCAGCTACAGCTTCAGCCAATGAAGAATCAAAATGATCTAGATCATCTAACTCTATGAACAAAGGTACCTAAAAATGTGAAATTGATCGTTTTTATTATATGTAAATTATAAATCATAAATAGATTTAAATTACTTGTTCTCGATGAGCAAGTTTAGTCAATTGTACTGCATATTTGGCATATTTTTGATTGTCTTTATCTAAAGCTTGATAATTTTGTAGAAAGTCAATGAATTTAGCTGTAGACAAATATATCATTTAAAAAAATAGTATAAAGTAGTACCAATAAATACAAAAAACTATTTTAATTTGTAATCAAGATAATTTTTTAATAGAAGAAATCAGTCAAATGAGGATTCTTAAACTATTAGTCATTAGTACCAAATTCAAAATATTAATTCATTGGCAAATCAATCTTTTAACATTGAGGAAAGATAATTTAGGTAAATTTAATTAATTTATTTAATGGTTACATTGAGATATGAAAATTTGACTATACATTTTCGAAGAGAAAAAGTTGATTTGAACATTTTATAAACTCCATGTTCTTAACTTCAATACAAGATTAAAATAGCATAATTTTTAAATATATATTTACATCAAAATATGAATGAGGGATTGACTCTCATATTTAATACGATTAAAGTGTTTATATAATATTTGCACATTTCAAAAAATTGTATATTCTTACCTTTGTCGCTTTCATAATCTCTATAACCTGTTTTAGCCATATTTGTTATGCCTTAAAAATTAAATTAATAAATCAAGTACGACAATGCTTAAAAATAAATTAAATACATTAAGTCTTAAAAATCTAAGATAATAATTTTAAGAACAATAATTACGAAAGGAATTGCTCATTTAACAAATATAGAGGAATTTCACGTAAAAATTGTTACTCAATAAATAGACAATTTAACTGTAAGACCTGTTTGGTTATACAGATAATATTGGATGTACCGGTTTAACACTTTGTTTGTAAACAAAAATACGCGGGAAATAAATCATGTGAACGAACAGCTGATTGTAATTTCAGTGTACTTCCATTGAAAAATTGATAGTGCCAACGGAAACCCATAGACTAGAGATTTTCCATAGATTTAATAAACATGTTTATAAGAACTATGATGTGTTCACTGTTCACAAATCTATCAATAATTTTGATAATGGTAATAACGTCTAAAATTATTTATCACTATAATAATATAAAGACAATGTATCCGTGTTTTGAAAAATCATCTAAATTTAATTATCATTATTTTTAAATATATTAACGTAAAATCATAAACTATTTTTAAATTAAAAAAAAAAGACAATTCTTCTTATAATATAAAAAATTATAACTATAGATATTATAGATTATCTGTTATCTATAAAACTTAGGCGTAAATAGAAATAAAATAAAAATGTTATTATCTTTAGTTACACATTATTCTTGAATTATTAACTATGTAACACTTTTTAAGTTCATCCCTTATGCCTCGTAAGGATGTCAACTTTGTTTTTTAAATGTGAACACATATTTTGAATTTAATAAAATGTTTGAGTTTTTAATTTAATAGTAAATGGCATTTGAATTTTTAATGTAACTATATTTGTTTATTAGATATAAACATTTAAAGTTTCAAATTTTTGAGTTAATATACAGGTATAATACATAAGGGATTACAAATATAGGTAGCTAATTGGCACTGAATTTTTTCTTAATTCTTTTTGTGTTAGAAAAAAATGTTTAACTCATTTGATTTTTATTTCATTTAGATTCAATAACTTCAATAAATATCATGGATACCATTACTGTAGTCTCCTCTCGCGAGAAGAAATTCAAATTAATATTATTTTACTATGTGGTTTTTTTTTGTAGCTATCATTTATTTTCTCAGCTCTCACTTGACCTACTTTTTTGATAATTTTTTTTTTTTTAAATTAAACACTATCTACAGATTTGCATCGAAGCGTTTTTTATGATAATGATTTTAATCACTGTCAGATATTATCTATACTGGACCCAACTATGCCACGACCCCACTGTGTTGGGTTTTTTTTTCTATAAAAATAAATATAATTTTCTAAAAAATTTGGTGGTAGTTAAACATACTTAAGCCATCTGATTTTCACCTATGTTACATAATATAAATAATTCCAAAATTATAACTCATTTAATAAAAAATATAAAATCATTTATTTATTTTAAGCATACATGACCAAGATATTTGTAACTGATATAAGTAATTGTTATTTGAATAAAAGTACAAAAGAAGAAGTAAATATTTCATCATTAATGAGTCTTTAATTATCAATTCGTTTTCATAAACGTCCTGAGTCAAATAGTCAATTTGAGTTGGATTACATTTCGAAACAGACAAAATTTTAATGTGATTGATTTTCCTAAATAAATGCATTTTAATTAAAATTTTATTGAAATAATAAAATAATTAGCTGGATAATTTACGATTTTCAACAAATTTCGTTTACCTTCAAGACTTACTTGTTTTATGTTATCTATATTAAATGTAGAAGTTGTAATAATTATTAGTATTGTAAAACTATAAAATTTTAAAAAATATTTAGTTACAGTTATTTTTAATTTAAATTTCAAGTACATCAATGGACTTTAGTGCTTGTGATTGTTGCATCATAAATGCTCATTTAATTATTTCTATAAATAATAGGAATATTTTTGATTCCGTATAACTCATAACATACTTATACAATTTATTTATGAATTATTTAGGTGTTTGCTGTGGTTACAACATATTTGGTTATATTTTTACAGTTTAATGCATCCGCACAAGTATAATTTTTAAAAAACACATTATTTAAGTGTTAAAAATGTTAAATTTTATGTGAAGCTAGTATATTTTTTATTTATAATGTTTGTTATAATACGTTCATGAATTGTTTGACTAATGTTAAATATAAATTTTAGGAAAGGTAAAATTATTACCTTTTCTAAAAAATGACAAAATAAATATTATATTAAAATTATCAAAATATTATACATCAATATATCTGCTATTTTATATTTATAATGGAAGATCAAATTTGTAATTTACTAAGGCTCATGTATAAATCATAAATTCAATTAATGAAAATTCTACTAATTGTTTCACACCTCTATTACTAATTATTACTAATTACTTCACGCTTTTTTAACTAATTGTAACTAATTGTATCACACCTCTATTACTAATTGTTACTTATTACTTCACTCCTTTTTAACTAATTATTTCACACCTATATAACTAATTGCTTCACACTTTATTAATTAATTGATACTTATTGTTTTACACTTCTATAACTAATTGCTACTAAATACTACACACCTTTTTAACTAATTGTTTCACACCTTTATATCTAATGGTAATTAATTGTTTCACACCTCTAAAACTATATTTTTTTAATCTTTACTACTCATAGCTATTAATTTGTAAAGAAATTATTAAATTTTATAAAATATATTTATAGCTTAAATTGATACTTAAATGGTATTAAGGTAATTATGACTTCAACAAAAAATGTTTATTTTATCATCTCATTTAAAATAGTTGTTTGATATTATGTGAAAAAATATTGGCCGTTCTACATTTTTTCGGTTTAATCGGTTTTAGGAGTCCGGCTTTTAGGGTATGTTCTGACGCCAAACTACATTTAGGTCTTTATAATTAACTATTACTATTTTAGTGTTGAAAAGCATTTCTAGCAAATGATAGTGGGATCGGGAGAAAGTGATTACGGAGAAAATGCAACCCCGTCGAGCAAAGTAAACCCAACAAATTTAAACCCATGAGCAACCCAGCAAAGAGACTCCAAAAGCAAAGTGGGATCCGGAGCAAGTGATTACGGATAAAAGTGCAACCCCACCCACCAACAACATATCCAAACCCGTCCGTTATTCTAGCAGAGGCTGCAAAGCGAAGTTGGATTGGGATAAGATGATTTCGGAAAGGAAGTCAAAACGTTTCGAACGTACGTTTCGCTACGGAAACCAAGGGTTTACTCCGCGATCTAGAGAAGGGACGGCAAAAGCCTGTTATCAAGTAGGTAACAGATAAGGGAAAGGAGTATTCGGCTGCGCTAGATATGTTGCGTTGAACAATAACAGGAGATATCGGTAGCGCGCCCAACGCGTCAGTTGAAAAGTAAGGTTTACGGGGATAAATACATACGGTAATGATAACGGTCAACCGCATTATTGAAAAAGGCATTGGCGGCAGTATGTCGTTTGCGCGGCGGTCATATGACACGGTCACTCGTATCGAATAGGTAATAGAAGATTACGAAGATGGTTTACGGATTACGGCGTGTCGATCGGGTTCGTGGAGGGAAATATACAGAAGTGGAATACTCACTAAATCCAATTAATATTTCATGTAAGAGTATTCGAAATTAAAGTACGTTGAATGTATTTAATGGAGTAGGCAAAAACGAATATTCGCTAAGTAAATAAATATTTAAACTCGTAATTTTTAAAATAATGCAATAGTGAATTGATTGTCATTCGAACAAAACGATTACGAATCGGAAATTCAATGTATAATAATTGACTAAGTAAGAGAGGCGCCATGTACGATAATTGCCATGCATAAAATGTAAAATCTGATACGATATTTTTTATATCAGATAATGAAGCCTTAATGTATTTAAAAATATCGCACACATAATAAATTACTATTTTTTCAAATAAAAAAAGTAATATAAATAGGAAAAATCATGTTTCATTATTGGGCAACAACACACATAAACAAAAGGTTTTATTCACATTGAAATCAGTACTCGATATATAATTTGTATGCACTAATATGATTAATAATTTATTAATATAATCTAATATTATATTATATATTAATAATATAATCTAATAAACAAATAAAGTTATACTAAAAATTCAAATGCCATTTACTATTAAATTAAAAACTCAAACATTTTATTAAATTCAAAATATGTGTTCCCATTTAAAAAACAAAGTTGACATCCTTACGAGGCATAAGGGATGAACTTAAAAAGTGTTACATAGTTAATAATTCAAGAATAATGTGCAACTAAAGATAATACAAAAAGAAAAAATGTTTTTATTATTATTATGAAAGTAATTGAGTGGGTTATGATAAAAAAATCACTCTGTATATTTATTAATTTTTTGGTAAATTCAAATGGGTGGCGTTAAGGAATGATAATTTTGACTAAAGGCAACAGCTCCCACAGCTTCGCGGTTTCCGGCGCATCTGTAATAATATATGTCAACTAATTTACCAATATCGAAGAAAAATCACAAATAAAAATGAATATTTCTTGTGCATATGAAATAAATTGTATGATTTATAGTAAATATTTACAATTTCATAACACAATGGATACAGAAAGGTTTTATTTACCTGAATGTGCTACAGAACAGTAAGTGCCATAGGCGCAACTAGAAAAATATTGAGAGGACTAAATGTATATTACCATGCTTTGAAAATTATTATTAATATGTACATAATTATCGTAATTTTCTTAATATTTGATGAGCTAATTTCCATTAGTCGTCTTCTAGTTGCGTTTGTGCTTAGCCTATTCAGTGCACTCGACTTCATTCACACATAAATAATGAAAGTAACAGATAAATGTGAATTAAAAAATATAATTTATATAAGTATCACAATTTTACTTCTTCAGATATTATTAATAGTTGAGTCCTGTTGAACAGATATCTTTGTTGCATTCTACGAAATAGTATTTCCCAAAGGGCCCTCAAAATAGATTTTGTAAATTTTTTATTTTAAGTAAAAATTTGAAGTTTTCTCATTTTTTTGTTTTGATTAATAATAGTATTAACTATAAAAAAAACCCAGCACAGTGGGGTTGTGGCATAGTTGGGTCCAGTATAGATGATATCTGACAGTGATTAAAATCACTATCATAAAAAACGCTTCGATGCAAATCTGTAGATAGTGTTTAATTAAAAAAAAAAAATTTTTTAAAATAGCATATTTTTGAATACGGTAGCCATTTGCGCATAGAAGATAGGTCGTCGGGACAAATTTTTTTTTTTATTTTATAGTACATAAAATAAGCTTTAATTTGATATATGTTTAAAGGACGCAGTATTTCCGGAACATTTTCAAAAATTAAGTTGAAAAAGTTAGTTTTTGTAAAAAAGTGGCTATTTTAAATCCCCTCCAATGATCAGGTTAAGTGTTAGATTTTCAAAAAAATGATATCAAATGAAAGGTAAATATCTAAGGTTTTAGTATAAAAAAAAAATTATGCTGATTTGTTGATTTTTGAAAAAGTTATGGAAGTTTTAAGAAAAAAAAGTGAAAAAAATGACAAAATTTACCGATTTTTAAATTTGTAATTTTTTTGGATATTTCCCCCATTTTCGGGGAACGAGGGAATTTTTTTCAATTTTTAAGGGTAATGTCTTCAACTAGATACGATTTGTGATCTTTTGACGTATCGTCGAAAGAATTCTGTTCGATGAGAGCTGAGAAAAAGTGGTAATAGACATACACAAAAAAAAAAACACATCATAGTAAAATTAATACATTCTCAGCTTCGCATCGAAGCTAAAAACAAGTAATATACTAAATGAATTCTTAATATAATAAAACAATATGTGTTACTAAAAATACAAAATATAGTTTCTAAATATATTGATGATAATATTTTACATTAGTTGTAAAAATTTGATACAATTAAAATACGATAAATGAAATAATAAGCTATGAGTATCCGTTTTTGACATAAATATTAGTCAGTTGAATATATGTAAGAACGTATAAAAACAAGTAAAGATTAACAATATAATTTACAAAGTATCATAATAGTTTACAGAAAGATACCCAAGAAACATTAAGGAAAACAATTTTTTAAAACTCTTTAAAATCATTACAACTCTACAGGCAAGATTTCATCGTACAAAATAGTCTTTAACACGTTATTACCAATTTGCATAGCAAATTCAACAGCAATTTCTTCAACAATTGGCGAAACGAGGTCTAATACAAGACGGCGATTTTGGTGGAAGAATGTCATTGCTGTTTCCGCTATAAAAGTTGTATAATATACATAATTTAATGATAAAACAAATTATAATCTTAATTGTAAAATTCAATAGCGTAATGTAAATAAATTTTAATGTTTTGAAGTTTTTTTTTAATTATATATTTTATATTTAATTCTCATGTAATTGTATATCTTGAAAAATATTTTATATTTTATTTTAGAATGTAGTTGAAAATTATATGATGATTAAGCAATAAAAAATTGATAAAAATCTTACTGATGACTTCTCCTCCTCGACTTAAATTCTTAACTTTTCCAGTAGCATCTCCAACTTTTACTTTGAGCCGGATATTTTTCAGCTGGAAATAATCGCGGTTTTTTTTGTCTTTAAGAGTTTCTGCAGAACCTTTTATGTCGACTCTAACGTTAGCTATGAACACAAAGATTTTTTTAGAATACTCAAAAATGAATAAGTTTTTTTTGTTTCATTTACTTATAGTGCCATTAAATGTGCCTTTGCCTTTAAGAGGAATTACCATTATTCGTCCGTCTATATCATAAGTACAGTTCACAAATAGGTTTGGAACAATCACTGTGGCTTCACCCGTTAGCTTCTCCAGATTTATTCTGAAAAAAGTTTATTTTCTTTTTTGAACAATTTTTTTTTTTAAATCAGTTACTATTTGCAGAGACATTTCTACGGTAGTTAGATTTTAAAAAACCTAGTTGCGTTATTACATAGTTAATAGTATCATTAGTCTAAAATAATTTTAATTTAGTTACAACATACATTATGCAATTTTTAAAAAAATAAGTAATTAAATAGACTAAATTGCATTCAGTAAACAGTGAATTTCCAATATGCCAATTTTTAAATATTATTGAGGTTAACGTAACAAATTAGATAGGCATGTGTAATGATCACTTTCACTGTGCGTGTGTAATATGTAATTTTGTTACATGTACTTAAATGTGTTTATATTATTTTAAGTGCAATGCACAAATGGGATATTACTATTACATTAATAATATGACAAATAATTTCTCAGCATGTTGTTTTATTATAAAAAATATGTGTCATATCGATTTATGATTATGATTATTATTATTTTTACTTAACATACAATGTGATTGTTCAAAAGTCAACAATCGTGAATTGATAGTTTTATAGAAAAATATATCTATAAATATTAATATTATTTTATATATAATATCATAAAGTTAAAAGCTAAGTTTTTTTTAATTTATTAATTTGTTAATGTAATACCCCTTTATACATGTTAAGTCTAAAAATAAATATTTTCGATAATATGTAGTTATATGATCAGTATTGATTTAAAGAACACCTATGAGAACTGTCGTGTATTTAGAGTTTGTATTTTGGGTATTAACTTTTCCTGGTAGTACTTAACTTGCATAATTATGTAAAAGTAGGTTCTTCGATTATATTCAAACATAAATAATATATATATCAGGTTTGTGATTACAACACCAAGAATAAATTATTATTAGTATTAATTTTAGTTGTTTTAGAATGTTGTAAATACCACGGATGTAAGGAAGACATGGGGCTTATTAAAAATACTAAAATGCAAAACCTTTTTAAAAATATCTAAATACGCTACTTTTCAAGTAAATATATATAAAAAATGTTTAATGTTTTACACATTTAAATTAATTTTCAATGGTAGGCATTAAAATTTTTATCATTTTTATAACAACATTTAAATAAAATCGCGTAGATTAAAAATTTACTTTAAATTATTGAGAACAAATTTTGATCCACCCCATGCCATAACGTCTGTGATGGTAGCTTTGACCTTAAGCGAATCGTCGTTTCTATTTACTTGTAATCTAGGAATGACCATTGGTTCTAATGCCGGAATTTGTAACTTAGGAACTCCTGGTTACAAAAATTAATAAATGCCGTTAGACATTGGAATTTTTAAAATATCTTTGAAAAATGAATACAATACCGTTTGGCAATTCCGGTCTTACTGATTCAATTGTTTTAAGAAGACATTCATTCATTTGTGGATCAGTTCTTTTACACACGTGCACGTAGCTGGCTGAAATTCATTTTAAAATGTGCTCTTAAATTTTAATTTAAGCAGGAATATAGTGTAATTTTTTGAAGATATTGTGCTTTTCTTTAAAACACTGGTAGATTTTTTTATAATAATTCATGCAATATTGACTTACGTAGCTTTTTTGCTGCCGTGTGTTGAGTTTGAAGGACGATTATTACAACACTGAATATTAGCAGGGACATTTTGTTTAGCATTGTTGTTTACTAAAATAATAAAGATGAGTCTTAATGATTTCAAAATATTACATGACGAAACACTCTAAATCATTGGCTATTAGAAATTTGAATTAAATACAATATATCCTTAAAAATCATATATAGAAATGCTTAACAAAAGGTCTTTCATAAAAAAAGTAAAATTATATAATTTAAGTAAACAATTTTTTAATTAGAGTAACTAGTTTTATACTTTATATCTATACTTTATATCTATTTCGGTTGTATTTCTTTTAAGTGTTAATAAATTTGAAAATTTAGTTTTGAAAATTATAATGTCTGTAGGATTCTCGGTATTCAGTTAAAAAAAAATTTTTTTTGTTTAAAACTTCATATTTGAATAAATTAATTTTTAGGTGTCTACAATATTATCATATTGTATTGCTACCTCCAAATAATTTGAGTTCACACATTTTATTTAAGCATTACAAATTTTTGTTGTTATTATTTGTTTTATTGCTTCTACTTTTTATTTTATGTAATGAAGATTAATGTTGTATGTTTAAAAGAACAATAGTAATGTATTCGTTACAAATGAGGTACTCACATTTCCTAAAACGTTTCAATAAGAAGTCGATAACTCCGATTGTCATGTGTACTAGTGGAGCAGAATACTTGATGTTTGATCACTTCGAAGTGGCCGTATTAGAGTAAATGACCGGTGATCATGTACCCCTTATATAAATTCTGGGGGACCGCAGTGGCCAATTATTGAGTAACTAAGCATTATTTTTTCCCTTCTCTTTATTTTTACTTTTCTCCTTCTTCCGATGTGTGTATGGCGAGCCTTTTAAGTTTCTTCTTGCAAACGGACATAATCTCCTTGACTCCTACTGCATTTCCTTCACAAAAACGGTTATGATAGTGAATTGTTGTGAAATCATCATACAATTAGGACACACGCCTAAGTGAGCTTGCGAATTTGTTGTTCGCTATGTCCGTGTCTCACGACAATTACTGTTTGATTCAATATGTGTATGTTTAGATAACTTGTAAGTAAACGAACGAAGCGGAAAGAGAGAAGATAACCTTGTCGGTAGATATACCGTAAAGTGTATAAAAAGTATTCAAATGGTAAAAAGATTTTTACTAGAAAAAATAATATTACGAAAATTGAGAAATACTCGTTTATGATGTTATCATTTAGTAAAATTTTTTTTAACTACGTTAAAAAAATTGATTTACCATCAGGTAACTTGTTGGAACTCGTGAAATTTATGCAGAATAAGAAATGGCACTTATTAAGTAAATTTTATGTAATATTTATAAACCAGTATAATTTTTTTTTATATTATATAAAATTCGATATAAATTTACTTTTTAATTGTATGTAATTATATTTAATTTTGCAACACACTTAACTATATTTTCTTTTAAATTATAATTCATTAAAGTAGATTAACACTTAATTAATTTTTAATAATTCCCAATTTTTACATTAAATATCTGTTTAACTAAGGTTAAAAATTCTTAAAGTGTAACTTCTAAATGTATTATGTTTAACTTACTTACAAACTAGAAAATTATCTATTTAAGAAAATGACTGGTCGATACAACTTCTAGGTTAGTATTTCAAAAGATATTAACATTTTAATTCCAAAAAGAAGGGAGGAGTAGCGCTATTCATTAATGCCTACAGATAAAAATACACTTCTCGTACTCCACTTAAGTCATTATATTAAAATGTTAATAACTTCCAAAAAACTTGTTCAAAAGTTATGATCAACTAGTCATTTTATAAGATAGATAATTTTCTAGTTTGTAAGTAAGTTAAACATAAATGTTTCATTTAAAAAACTAATTTTTGGATGAAAAGAGGGTGAAATACTAATAATTAAAAAAATATATATTATGTTTTATATTTTTAAAGATATTGTTTTAATCAATAAGATAAGATATGATGTTATTGATCAAGTTTGAATGTTTTGGTTTTGAATGAGTTTTGGTAAAATGGTCAGCATAGAGATTCTATCGGGGTTGTAGGATCCGAGAGTTATGAACAGTAAAGACAAGTTGATATAAAAGAAATGATTAAAATTCCTCTTTATAGAGGTGATCTAAATAGGCCGACTGGTAAGTCCTTGAAAAACACCAAGGCAACGAAGAGGTTGTGGTTGTCTAACGAATACTCAGTTGAGGTGTTTATACATACAGTAGAAATCATATTAGGTTTTTAAACTCTTCTAAGCAACGAAAGGTGACAATCTTGTGAATACTATGTAATGTGATTATGTGTGTAAGTTTCAAACTAGTCAGTGATAATTAATTAAAGTTTGAAAATTAATATATATAATTGATTTATTATTTTATTGTTCTTTACTCAGATTAATAATTCTAAATAATTGGCTTAATGTAAATTGATTTATGTTGCGTTTTAATTTCAAAGTATTCAGCTAGGTATGAAAGTGACCACCGACCTTTTCAATATTTTTTTTATACACATCAGAATTTTTGAAAGGAAAAATAAATAAGTCTTAAATGCAAAAATATAAATAACATTCGCACTCATGTGTACCAACAACATCATGGGACTATAGCCAATAATTCATCGAGAGATAAGAGGATTCGAGTAACACTTGAACTGAATTCTGGATTGAATCCAATACTTTCTATATCATTTTTAAATACCCTATCTTGAGATGTTGTCAGAGCTTTAGTGATTTTCAGTTTATAATATTGAACTGAAAATAACACGATTATTTTTTTAAGATAAAATGCATAATTTACAATGATCAAATTGACATATATATGTCATATATATATGTATATGTGTCCAATACAGGATATTTAGTAAGTAAAGAAACATGTCAATTGTTATAAACAGTGATAACAATAGAAACCCGTTTCTTTACTTACTGAACACTCTATATAATAAATAGTTTCAACAGAGCAAATGTTATCACAAATAAATAAATAATTTCTTTGCATACAATTAATGTAAAATACAAAATACATGCAGCTAATAAATATCAGAATATTTATATAATTATTATTTAAAAAAAAATCAAGTGTCTATTGTCAAAGGAATCCCATTGTATATAACCATGTGACTTATGTCTACTTAATCTACTAAGCCAAACGTTTTAGATTCCTAATATATTTTAAATTTAATATTAACGAATTTTTAAGAAAAGATTAAAGGAAGGAACAAAAACAATTTTGCCATGTGGGTCAATGATTTAAAGAAGACCTTGAGTAAACAAAGGAAACGATAGTTCACACATTTTTAATTAAAAAAAATATCTAAACACATGTAGTTTAGATAATCATTTAAAGAACATCTTAAATTTTCATAATTCTATTGTCAATTTCAAATAAAATTTTAAAATCTTCTTCGTTAAATTCTTTAGGAAATCTTTAGGATCTAAAAAATTGGAGATTAAATTTTTATACAACTTAAAACATTACTTAATAATTATTGTTTTTTCTACGTATTGAAGGATATTGAAGATATTTATAATTTAATATTTCTTTTTAAATTTTAAACACTTACAGCATTTTGTTTGAACAATAGAAGAATTATAAATGTAGACATTAATTTTTTACTGTTATGAAATTTATGTCAGATAAAGAAATAATATAATTCAATGAATCTTGTAATAAATTTGGTAAGATTATACTTAATTGTAATTATAACATGTTTTTAATTGAATAAATTAACTAATAAAACAATAATAGGTAGTTCACCTTGAGCTACTTCATGATATTACTCAAAAATATCTACTAGATTTATTTATTCATAACATTAATTGTTTTTTGTTAATAATTAATGAAACTATTTAAAAAATATTTGTTTAATGCATTTAAGTTTTAAATGTATTATAATATTTTGATTTTAAAGGAATAAATTCATAAGACGTCATGTGAATAGTTAATTTTCAAATAATTTTTGTTTAAAAAAAAATTTTTTTTAAATGTTTTTGTAATAAGTCAATATTAATTATCGTAACAATTATTAGCTGTCCAAAATAACTATAACGTAGAGTTTTTTTTTTTTACTTCTAAAGGCTAAGCCTTGTTGTATACCAACTGGATTGGTATATCCTCGGGAAATTTTTAAGTGCAGTGGTTTTCCCTTTGCCTTCTGCACTGGAAATATGGTGCTTTTTCGCCACCGTAGAAAGCGCACGCATGGTCACCTATCCGTTCACCTACGGCGGTAGGCGCGGCTTAACACTAGAGTTTTGTCAACAACTAGTGTGACCACCGCGCCATACGTAGGGTAAACAAGGTTTTCTTTTAATTTGAATTTTATTTTGATAGCACAATAAGTTGTTAAGTATTATAGGAATAACCTTGATTGTTCTCATTTATAATAAGAAAATATTAATTAATAAAATAATTAGATCAATTAAATAGATATAACTAAACAACCAAATATTACAAGAACAATACAACAGTTAAGACTAATTTATTCAGTAAAATTGTTTAGTTTTATTGTATCCATTAAGTAATAATAACTTTGTATCCTACACTGTTTTCGGATTTGGTACTAAATATAAAATTTAATTTATGATAGTTGTTCGGGTGATTCCTTAACTAATTAAATAATGTCATCACATCGCTCTACGATAAAAGGGCTTACAGAAAATATAAAAAGAAATTTAGCTAAATTATGGTAATCACATAAATTATATTTCCATAATACACCTTAACTACGCCACTGATATTTGCACGTAAAAGCACGTAGCTCAAAGAACGTGCTCCACTCGCACNCGAGGCCCCAAAAGCACGTAACTTAGAGAACGTGCTCCACTCGCACCATCATTTTGTTAGTATTTGATCATTTACATGATAGCTTTAATAGTATTTAATATAATTGTTTCTTTTAGAAGCTAATAGTATTCTACAATTTATGATTTTCATAAAAAATTCGTTCTATTCCTTCTCTTTTCCCTTTAAAATTGTGTAACAGTTTTTTTTAATGAAAACATATGTGTTTAACTAGCTTACAAATAGGAAAATGATCCATATATTATTTTCTCAGTTATGAACCACTGAGGAATCATTCAATTTATAATTAATAAAGCATTTAATCATAGGTCTTTTAATTATTATCAAATTTCTTGAAATTTTTTTAATAATAAAGTGTAAAAAAAAATCGAAAAGATTTTTTTTGGTCAAACGGTTTTAAAGCTATATAGTGCCGTAAAGAAGGCATAGGAAATAATATATGGTAACTTTTAAAAATTATAAAAATTTAAAAAAATAGTTNTTATTTTCTCAGTTATGAACCACTGAGGAATCATTCAATTTATAATTAATAAAGCATTTAATCAAAGGTCTCTTAATTATTATCAAATTTCTTGAAATTTTTTTAATAATAAAGTGTAATAAAAAATCGAAAAGATTTTTTTTGGTCAAACGGTTTTAAAGCTATACAGGGTGATTTTTTTATCATAACCCACTTAATTACTTGCAGAATAATAATAATTTAAACATTTTTTTTTTTCATTATCTTTAGTTACACATTATTCTTGAATTTTTAACTATGTAATACTTTTTAAGTTCATCCCTTATGCCTTGGAAGGGGGTCAACTTTGTTTTTTTAAATGGTAACACATATTTTTAATTTAATAAAATGTTTGAGTTTTTAATTTAATAGTAAATGGCATTTGAATTTTTAATATAACTTAATTCGTTTATTAGATATAATCATTTAAAGTTTCAAATTTTTGAATTAATATACAGGTATAATACACAAGGGATTACAAATACAGGTAGCTAATTGGTTTTTTATAACATCGATATTAGCAGGTACACAGCATTGTTATTATCAATTGTAGTAAGGCACATTGTTATGAGTTTATAAATACACTAACTGACAATACAGAAAGTATATCTATTGATAATCATAATTGATAATAAACAATCCGTGACTGAGACAGCAATGTCATAAAAATCCAATTAGCTACCTGTATTT